CAGTTACTTTGACACCTGTCTTATTTTTCTGTCTTATTTTTCCTGCAGAGGCATGGAGGACTCTGGAGATGAAATCTGGTGTCTGACTCACAGCATGTCCTCAGTAACCCTTTAGGGACAGTTACTTCCTTCTGCCTTGTAGTATACTTACTTGTCCATACTCTTACTTCCTTTGCCATAATCCTCCTGAACATTTTTATATTCCCTCAGGCATCTTGCATATTGCTTTATGTGTAGTATATCACCTATGATTTGATAAATGAGTAATAATAGCAAATAAGGGAATAGTGAAAAATAACATAGATTTTATTAATAATTCGATACTGACAGCATAGTAAATTAAATTGCTCAAGGAACTTACCCATAAAGCAGAAGATTCACTCTCAATCTGCAAATCAAAAATTCATATCAAAACGGTCTTCCAAAAATGATTCAGGAATATAATCATAGCCGCTTCATGTATGGCATTGTTGATGAACCACAAAGAAGTTTTGAAAAAGCAATTATGTACCTTGGAACCCATAAAAAGAATTGAGAACCAAGCTGCCAAGATTGTCTATGTTAGCAATCTAGTAGAAGGTGGGGAACTTGTCTCTACAAAGGTTCAATATAAGTCCTGGAACACTATGCCTTTGTGTTTGAATTGTGCCACTCTAAAATATATTAAATACCAAACTGTGATGTTTTCACTGTTTTGAAGCTAATATCATTTGAAAGAAAACTTTGGAAACACAATCCTTAAATAAGAAATTACTTAGATATACTCTCAAGGGAGATTGGAAAAGGAGGAAGGAAGTAGAACCGGCTATAACTAACTAATTCTCTACAAGTTGAGACATGACCAGAAAGCAGAGTTCTAGTGTTCTAAAAAGATTCTATCTTCAATTCATCTCCTGTCAGCCTCGAAAGGCCCTTTTAGTTAGGCCATGAAGACAGATATATAAGTTGGTGCTATATCCACCATATTTGCTATTTAGTTTTGGCTTAGTATTTGTCTGTTGTAGAACCTGAGAAAAATCAGAACCAAGCACTTTTCAATCCAATGAACCTAGCTACCACTCACTAAAGAAAAAAATATGGTGCAGACTCAGGACTAAATAAGTAGGAGTCTAGAAACTTAAAGTTGTGGCATGAAGCTGACATGCTATGCAATCATGTGTAAGGTCTATGAAAATCTTGTAGAAATTGATCATTACTTGTGAGGAGGGTTGAAGTGAGCGTGGGGATGTAGAATAGGATTAGCTTGAAGACCTATAAAAAGGTCTAAAATGTTTTGGTTTGAAGATTGTCACAAAAAACAAAGCAAAGCTATCACTTTGGGTAACCTGTTTTTATAGGTATAAACATCCTATTATCTTTACCACAGTGTGTTGAGTGTGTTTACTCATGGTGTGTGAGAAGGATTCACAGAATTCTGAAAATTTGTTGTACTCAAGTAATGGTTTATTATGGGGAAAGAATCAGCAAAGACAAAGGTGCATAGGGAATTGTCTAGAAGAGACCAAGTGCAAACTTCCAGTTATCCTCTCCCAACAGAATCATACAGAAAGTATTTATTTCTCCAGCAACAACGTATGACAACACTTATGAAGTATTGCCAACCAAGGAAACTCACCCAAGTCTTGCTATTCAGGATTTTTATTGGGAGGTCAGTCATTTAGGTATGAAGCTCTTATATGACTGACCAGTCTCCAGGTCCCCCAGAGATCAAACTGATACATTGTGACTCAGGAACCCAGGTAGACAAAACTAGACATTCACCATAAATGGCATTGTTAGCATAAACTGTCTGGTGTGACCCCTGGCCCCAGGTATACAAAGACATTTTTATCAAGCAGAATATTCCAAGGGCTTATAGGTTATCTCCCAGGAGCTGGTCAAGGGATGGTCTTTTCAGTTTAGAATATGTAGGGTTTGAGCATTCCCCGGCTATTGAATTAACCCTTTACTGCACCATATGGTGATGAAAGAGTTCTTTGTACCAGTGTCTTGCCTTTCTTAGTTGACATTTTACCTGTTCCTGCCAACTTAGGTGAATCAAGTATAGTTCTTTTGGTTTACCTCCTGCTGAATGACCTGTAATGATTTACCAATTCCTAAGAGAAAAGATCCATATCTCAGAGTAGCCTTGAAAGTTCATTATGTGAGGGCAGAGACACTGGAAGCCAAGTACCAAGTGCAGACCCTAGCATACAGGAAATACTCAGTGTGTCTGTTTTGAAAGAATAAATAACGAATGAATCTTCCACTCTTTGAATTATTTCTTGTTTCCAATCTCTTTGCTAACATGGGTCTCTCATTTTATCTCGTCGAACAGGTTGAATTTTTAAACCAGGTTTCAAAATTTAGGTCAAATTCCACTCCTGTCCCAAAGCCTCCTCAAGGCTTTGTAGCACAATTAGTCTCTCCTCTTCTGTGTTCCCATAATTTAATTGATTTCTCAGATTCATGATCCTATTCCACCTTGCATTATAGTGGATTGTAAATATATCATTTTACCTGGCTCTAGATGTTGACTTTTAAAGACAGAGACCTTGACCTATCCATCTTTTTTTTTTTTTTTAAAGATTTTATTTATTTATTTGACAGAGAGAGAGAGAGAGCGAGAGCAGGAACACAAGCAGGGGGAGTGGGAGAGCGAGAAGCAGGCTTCCTGCCGAGCAGGGAGCCTGATGTGGGACTTGATCCCAGGACCCTGGGATCATGACCTGAGCCGAAGGCAGATGCTTAACGACTGAGCCACCCAGGCGCCCCGACCTATCCATCTTTAGAGTCCCTAGAATTCCTACTCAAATGTGTTGCCTCAGGTTACTAATTAATTGAATATTGAAATCATTTAATCATATTTTTTCAAGGTTATATTATCAGGCTAAAACAGAGATAAGGAAAATGTAATGTCTAAAAATTTCAAATTGTTGAACTCAGTCTGAATCTCAGAAAAGTAGTATTATGAACTTTCAAATTAGAGTAAATGAAAAGTAGATTAGACCAAGTGCATAAGAGCACAGTCTACAGAACAGCTGTATTGTGTCCTCAGTGGGATAAGCTAAACTATAATTATAGAGGTGTTTCATCTTTTCTGCCTGTATACTCTTCTGAGGATCCTCCCAACTTCAGGGCTTTGGGGAGTTATTTGTCACCATAGGTCTGAAATTAGTTTTGATTAGTTTTCCTTTCATTTATCATCTGAAAATATCTGAAATCTGCCTTAGAAATAAAAACTAGCAAGAATGTCTGTGGCAATAATTCAATTTGTATATATATATCAGGATGCTAAAATTTGACATGTGAAACAGGCCAGGAGACACCCCTTTGTATGGGTTCCCCACAATATAGAAGTGATTGTGGTCTTAAGTGGGTCATACAAATTAAGAGTCAAAAAGTTAATTTCAAATAAATTATTCTCTCAGATACAAGCAGAACCTCTTTATTTGTTTATTCTTACAAATCTTGCCATTTTTTTCACACTCTTGTTCTCTCTCCTATTTTTCTCCTATGTTCTCAGATCTTATCAACCCTATCTTCTGCCCAGTCTTGATTTATTCAAAAAATAGATATATTAAACATCTACTATATGCATAGTACTTTGCTGTGGGTGAAAAGCACAACCACCAAGAAGTTCACTGGGGCATCTGGGTGGCTCAGTCAGACGGCAGCCTTTGGCTCAGGTCATGATCCCGGGGTCCTGGGATCAAGCCCCAGTCGGGCTCCCTGCTCAGCAGGGAGTCTGCTTCTCTCTCACTCTGCTTGTGCTCGCTCACTAACTCACTCACTCACTCACTCACTCACTCAATAAATAAATAAATCTTTAAAAAAAAAAAAGAAATTCATTTAAACTTAGTAAAATTTGGTTTAGCTAGTGCTCAATGTTGTACCAGGAATGCCAGTATTTTCTAGGAACTATAAAGGTTAAGACAAGGTTGCTACCTCTGAATAGATTATGGTATATAACTGGAGAGAACAATCTCAGAAGATATAGCTATGCTTTTTTGGTGGTTATAATAGAGCAATGTACAAAGGACGATGGGAACACAGCTGAGAGAGGTTCTATAAGGAGAAGGAAAGCTTCAGAATTAAGGTGATGAAGGAATTCAAGGAAGAGAAAAAATGTGGAGCAAATGCAGGTGTAGGGAATACTGAGAATCTGTTTCTAGAAAGAAAGGAGCCTTCATTTAGAAGTTATTAGTTAAGATTAACTGTTCTTTAAATTGAGAGACTACAGCCTTCCCAGTTTTTCATCAGATAATCAGCTTTCCCTGGCCCGAGTCCATGGTATAGGCCCATCTATAAACAAATAATTTTTCAGTATGTTGGGACTAGGATTAATGATACCAATCTGGAGAGCAATCACTGCACGAGATTTATTTTTCCCATATTATTACTATATGATTAACTGGCTACACCAATGTATTAAAGAAAACACTGTGAAAATTAACCAAGAAAAAACTTTCCTCTTTTTCTGCTTAGTTGCATCAAGGAAATCTATGGCCATTTACTCCAGTTTCTCTCCCTGTCAGGTTCTCATGCTGGCCCCAAGTGTATGCATTTTTAATATGTAATGTGGAAAGCATCTTGCCATCTGTATAATATTAACATGCTGTTACACATCCATGAGTTTAATTCTCTAATTTTGTCATATATCATGTGTTCTAAGAGGAAGTATTTCAACAACAGAGAATGGTGAACCAGACTGCGTCCATTTTCCTCAGTGTAACTCACTGCTGTATTTATCATGGTGTTTACTCCACACTCTTGACATACATGAAGATCAAAACTGTAGCTTTTATGACAGTAGATTGGTATCCAATATCCTTTCGCATCAGTGTGGCTAGAAAGGAGAAAGCTTAATAAAGAGCTTTTTGAGCAGATTTTTAAAAATATCATTATCCTTTAAATATGGTTGAGGGTAAAATGAAGAAGATCCAGTGTATATTTTCCTTTCATGGAACTAGATAGAAACAGTTCTTTATCTTGAAGAGCATCTCTCTTTCTGTTTGTAGGAGAATGTTGAAGGTGGGGACTGCAGTCGCTGTAAAGCCGGCTTCTTCAATTTGCAAGAGGATAATCATAAAGGTTGTGACGAGTGTTTCTGTTCCGGGGTTTCAGACAGATGTCAGAGCTCCTACTGGACCTATGGCCATGTAAGCAATAGCCTTTTCATTCTGTACACTGCTCCATTGTTCTTTCGTAAGAACAATGGTTCTTTAAAATGGTTTTCTGGTAGTAAGTTTCTACTTACCATTATCATGAAGAAGGGATGGATTTTTCTTTCAAATGCTATTTGTGTATTTTTGATCAAAGACTTGAAGGTTTTATTTGTAGCAATGTGGAGCCTGGAATCTCTTAGAAGTAGTAAATATCAGTCTTTTCAGTGTCCATGATTACTGTGTGAAGCAGTAATGGGATTATTGTGATTATAGCCCCAAGGGCATATGATTCAATCGAGAAAGCATCAGATATGATATGAAGAGTTGTGTATTCCATTCACCAATATTTTTGGTGTACAAATTAAGAAGAATTGCTCCCCATTGCCTTTTCAACTCTGCACAGACTGTGGTTTGTGTCCTGACAGAGGACGTATGAGAGGAAAATGGGACCCTCAAGGAATTTCAAATAGCCTGTATGACAGCTCTTAAGACTACAGAGTAGCAGAACGCAAGCTGGAGAAAGAGAAGCCCGGGGAAGGCGGGGTGGGGAATGAGAAACTCTACCATATGGGGTTGCAAATGCTAAGTTGGATTCTTATCCTTGGAGAGCCACTGGGGTATCTTAGCAGGGGAGTGATAGGACCAGATTTGTGCTTTACCAAGCACACTTTTGCAGTAAACTACCTTCCAAACACCGCTTCAACTTTAATCAGGTAAGTAATCCTTAACACAACTACCAAATATTCTCTTCTGCCTGTGTTGCTTTTATGTCAAGTCTATAATTTCATAAGTAGTTTCTGATTGTACTCGCATGTTTAAATTGAAATCTATACACTATTAAATGTATTGCTTTCAGAACAGATTGCATAGAACCAACAGCAATTAGACATCTAGCCCACTTCCTCCTCCTGTTTGTAGAGTTTCACCCCACCCTCTAAACTGTTCCATTAACATCAAAGTTCCATGGTCAGCAGAAGAGCAGAAGTGGCATTTAGTCTTGGTTTTCAGCAATTAGGTCCAACTGATATTTGCATTCTGGTAAGACTTCTGGAATGAACTTCCTCTGAATCTCACTGCGCTGTCTTAGCATCCCTGAGGGATGATGTTAGAAAGAAGAGAGAGGAGTAACATATATCTTAAGGTCTAGTCCCAGCAATTCTACAGCTTTGGGAGATGGAGAATCAAATGACCTCTACATGAAAAAAAAAATTTAAAAATATGTCATCCACAGATTATCACCACCACTATTCTGCTCCCCATCACCTACAACACCAAGCCACTCACACACATCTAAGTGGGCCCCTGGTAGCCACAAACCTCAGTATCTTGTCCCAACTAGGTAGGGCAGTCTAAATTAGAATTGTAGCTGTATGCCCTCTCCCGGCTGGAGTCTAAAGATGGAAAAGCAAATCATCATGTGTTTTCCTAATTTTTCCTTTAAGGATCCTTCCTTTTCTGGGCCAAGGATCTAGGCTATGAATTCCTACAACACTTCGAACCCCATGGGATGGACTAGGTATAGCACTGTGAGCTGTGGCCATAGCAACAGGCTGATGGATTCAAATGTCCTTAAGCCTCAAAACTGAAATTTAATTAAGTGGAATGGGTAGAAATGCTGAATTAAAAGGTACCTTTCAGGCGCTTGCATATTTTATTTCTTTTCCTGTGTTTTACAAATATATACATAAAACCTTTTGAAATTATTTTTCCTCTAAGCAACAAGAAATTATTAGTGGAATGAAATACATGCAATTTAGAGCCCAACTATCTGATAATTTATCAACATTATAATCATTGTGTAACTTGAACACATTTCTATTTTTAAGAAAGAAGTATTTGGAGTTATAACTTCTTAAAAAGTACTGGATCAATAAAAACAGATTATTACATATTACTATCCAAACTCCTAGAATCAACAAGAACACAATGAGAATCTATAATGAGTACATACGATAAGTTTCACATTTTCCACAGCTCTCCTGTTTTTCTAAACTTTAATATTTATTTTTTTTAATTTCCAAAAAGTGGACACTATACAGAATAGGAAAGAGAGTTGGAGGTGGTTTTTGGTTTTGTTTTTCATAAGTAAGATGATGGTGTGTTTTCTTGAAGATACAAGACATGCGTGGCTGGTACCTGACGGACATCTCTGGCCATGTTCAAGTGGCTCCCCAGCAGGATGACTTAGACCCACCCCAGCAGATCAGCATCAGCAGTGAGGAATCCCACCGTGCCTTGCCAGAGGGCTACTACTGGAGTGCACCAGCTCCCTATTTGGGAAACAAAGTAAGTCCACACAGTGCTGGCTTCTTGCTACTTCGCTTTAGCGGATCAATACAAAGAATGGGTTTTATTAAGTACTTTTTTAAAGAACGGTCAGAACGAATTCATGATGCGTTGGGCGGCCAGAAGCAACTAAATCAGTTTAAGTTGGATGTTTCTTCAAGGCCCCCTGGGTAAGTACGTATACCAAAAGTTAATGGTCTATAGCATCCCTAATATACAACTTTACATAGTTGGTGTTCTATGCTAACTTTTTTTTTTGGGTGGGGGGGAGTAGTTTCTAAGTCATTTTTATGCTAACTTTTTGAATGAATGAATACACTGATGAAGACTCTAGGATAGTTTTGCAAAACCTTGAAGATATTTTTGTGAAACAAATGATAAATATTGGAAGAAACTGTGTTGTGTTTACTTGAAATCGCTGTTTTTCTAGAGTTGTCTGTGGTAGGATACTTACTGAAATTTTCTGCATCTGTTTCTATTTTATTTCAAAGCTGATATTCAAGACAGCTAATTTTTCTACCTTGTATGAATGTTAATTGGAAATGAAATTTATTATATAACTGACTTAATGCTTGCCATGAAGCTTATGCAAACAACGTATTTCCTGGAGCTCAAAAAGAAAACTACCCTAAAAGAAATGCCAGATTGAAAACACGTTTGTTTTAAAGCCCACTCATACATATAGAAAAACATACACAGATAAACAAATGTAGCAGCTTCAGACATGCAGGTGTTTTTTGTTTTTTATTTATTTTTTTCTTTTGTGGATGAACTCTATCTAGATAGGGACCATGGGTTTTATTATTTTATTTTATTTTATTTTATTTTATTATTTTACTTTGCCGAAGAATTTGTTGGAAACCAAATTTGGCATAGTAATTCTAAACGTTCTGCTTGTTCTGCAAAAGTTAGTATCTTATCAGCTGATAGTTAAATCACCTAATCACACCAGAAACTGTAACGGTGACAGAAAACTCCCTTAGCAAATTGATGCTATGTAAGCCTCTGAGTTTTCATCTCTAAGAATATAGTGTTGCTTTTGAAGAAATCTTCATTGATTAAACAAACAAAATATATTTATTGTAAGTGGTTCTCTTGCATGGCGTATGAGTATTAAGAAAGAAAAAAGTAGTTCACATCTTATTCAGTGAATGGGAACTGGTGGTTTTAGCTGATTAAGAAAAAAAAATTTAACTAGTGGCCAGTTTCTTATTTTTAGCAGACTTCTAAATGCTATTATGAAAAATGTGTTAATGAATAAAACCCGTTTTTCAACGAATATGTACTTTAAAAGAGACAGTGTGTATGGCATAAAATTCTACAGCTGTAATAAAAATCCAATTAAACTTGTATTTGCAAGGCCTTTTATAGCAAGAAGTCATTCTATACTGTTCTATTTTGGAAGCTCCTGTATTCCCAACAACACTAAAATAGCACATAAGACTTGACTGTCTACAGCTTAAAATTGTGGAAAAAATAAATAAATATCTAAACTGTCAAATTTTTTGCCCCTGCTCTGAGTTCAGAGAGGAGCCTTGGGTCAAAATTGGATGCATTTCAAAGGTCTTATTTTTCTTACAATGGTGAAATTTATTTAAGAATAGCTTATAGTAGAATATTCTTTATGGCATTTTCCATATTTTTTCTTTGGTCATATGCTTTTTCTTTCTGTTGGCTGAAAATCAAACTGACATAAGGAAAGCAAGCAAATGGGATATTAAATAGCACCAGAGCAAAGAATTTGGACATCCTGTTCATAGTTGTTGGTGCCCAAAGATAACTTCCTTTATCCTGGCTGAGCTTTTTCTTAATAACCACCCACAATGAAGCACTTCATATCCCCCCACAGATCATTTTCACATCAAAAAGCTCTGCTTCCCTGTGCTTCAATTTCCACTCAGTGAACAAAATAATGGTAACAGGGTGTGCAAATTGTTTGAATATGGAAGACATTTTTTAATGTAATGTGGAAGCCCTTGGTGGTTTACTGTCAGATATCTCAGTATGAATGAAACAATTTGCTTTAATAACTGAACCATATAAATTTTTGATACTACAATAATACTGCAAGCTCTCACAAATTACCACAGTACATCTTAACTGCCATGTCACATCACGTAAATTATAGTCATGATGACATGCTTAGCTTGGTTGATTTAATATCTTGCTAAGGAAATGGAAAATTGTAGGGCCTTGTTTGTAAATTCAATAAAGCCACTTTTTCTAAATAGTTGAGGCTAAATTCTTTACCAGTAATTGCTGTTCAAATCAGAGCCATTGCCAGAATCTGACAGAAGTAGTATATCAAGAAACTAGTGCATCTGCTTTGATACTGAATTTCATTTACATCCATGACCAGGAGGCTGTGGGTATATCATCCCTCCTCTGCTTTTTTAGTGTTAATTCCTAAGTCAAAAAAAATATTTATGGGATGCTATTAGCTTTGCTAAATATTTGTATAACCAATTTTCAAACATTTTCCAAATGACTTGGTTATAAGGCTCCTTATAACAGAAGGGAGATGTGCTGTGCATATTCTGTTATAATGAAGATGCCACATGGCATTCTTCCTTTTTTTAGGAACCTGACTCCAAATAATGAAACTGCTCTCACATGGGATACACTTTGCTGACATAGAGGTCCACCCGATCGTGAGAAAACTCAAGCACACTCGCCAATTTAGCAAGGGAGTATTTCTTATCCTAAGAAACAGTTTTATATACTGCCCATCTAAATATTTCCACAATCTCCATTATGAATTAATTCCTCAATAACAATCTTGAAAAAAAAATTTTTTCCCTCACCTGTGGGTGATTATTTAGCACAGTTGGCACTATCCAGTGTTAATTCCTCCCACCCCTCACTCAAGAGAGTCAAAGAGGATTAAGTCAGGCACCTACAGGGTTGTACTAGGCAGCATTGCGTTTTTCAGAATGCTTGGCAAGTGTTAACACCTGGTTGTAGGGCATTGGTTTAAGCTTGGGGCTAGGCAGGAATGGAAAGAACTAGAGGACAACGTCCTGCTGATTTGCTACAAGCTACAGCTATTCAGAAACAGTTTGGGTATTTCAGAGTTGGAATAATTCACTACTTTAGTAAACTAAGTCCTACTGGAACATGGAAATAGTAATTTACTTAAGGTTACCCTAGTGGTCTGAAATAATGCAGCTTCCAAAACCAATTCTCTCCACATCAGTAAAGTTCCCTGAGAATCTGGCGTGGCTTGTCTACTGTTCCCGCATTACCATTAAGTTTTACAATCCTGTCTCTGAACATTATTAAATTAATCTTATGTGATTTGTTCTTTAGCGAACAATGCTTATTTTCTACAACATTACATTGTTTTTTTCTGTTTCCAACTTAGGGAGCTTTTAAATTGTTTCATGTCATTGCCAAGAGTACCTATAGCCTAGTTTAAGATGCACATTATGAGTCTGCTGACAAAATATCATCTGGCTTCCAAAAGTAATCTCTGGTTCTTCTCTGTTGTGCTTGCTTGACTTTCAGTTCTGTCTCTCAGATCTCAAGTTGAAACTGTGGGTTTGAAGGAGATTGATGTTTGAGATTCACAGGACAGGCTCGTTCTTGGCACATAAAAGGAGCTCAACAAATACTTTGTGATTAATGCTCCATGCTTAACAACAACAATGGAAGTAGGTTTGATTAGTTTGTTCAGAAATGACTCTTGACTTAGGATTTATGTCAGGGTTGAGAAATGATTTCAAACATGATGAAAAAAATTAAAAACTGATAAGCATGATCCCCTCTCCTCTCGACAGCAGAATGTGTATTTGTGACTTGTAATTATTCAAAAGTAAAGGTCAAACCCGATCCCTCATCCTTACCTTCCTCCAATTCAAGTCTTGGATTAAGTGGATTAATTAAGAAGGTATTGTGTATGTGGAGAATGGCATGGTCAAAAATGTAAATAGGACAAATCAACTGTGATTGAATTTTTATTTAATAAATCAGATCTCGTTAAGAATGATTTGGTAATGGAGTAGGATCAAGAAGATTTGCTACCTAGAACTAACCGAATGAATTGTTAGGGGTACATGAAGAAATATATTTATTTCAAAAAAAAAAAAAAAAGCCAAGAACTCACTTGTTGCCCATAGCTACGGTAAAGTCTACTATGCAAAATTATCCCACCTACAAGGACTCAAGGTCAAACATACATATCTCTCAAACTTACCTAACCTTATCATAACAGTATCTTGATATTTTTCCTGATTAAATATATAAAGTACTAATTCTAACATTGTAAATTATTACATAAAAGAGTGTTTTAATATTCATATGACTCATTTTGTTTGCAGTACCTTCTAATGGAGTGCAATGGGGACAAAGATCAGTTTTTGCAATTGAGCAACTGAATATGTACCAGATAGGGGAGCATTCAGTTTAACAGCAATTTGGTGGGAAAAATTAAGGAGTTTACTAAACAGTAATATCAATCTCAGTTAACTTTGGGATATGGTTGCCAACAAAAGTAATCTAGGGCTACATTGGTAGGCGTTTACTGGTCAGGTCAAGGGAGGTAATGGTTATACAGGTTCTGCACAAAACATGTCACCTAAAATAGTCAACTTGTGAATTTATGTTTTCATATATCTTAAGATACATGACCAAGGTTAGCAGCTGATAAGCCAAGATATCCCAACTAGTAAGGCAGTCAAGATTGGAATCCAGATGTGTCTAGCCCTTTTCTACTAGTTATTTTTTCATTCCGTTATGTTTATTAGTACTTGTAAGGCATTTGGCTTTGGAATAGAAATGCTTGAGCAGCTTATCCAAAGGGAAGCATAAGAAAGGAAACAATAAAGATATGAGTTTATATAAATGCAAATTAATGAAATAGAAAACAGATATCAATAGAGAGGCCACAAATCCAAAAACTTGTTTTTAAAAGAATTACAAAGCTCTAGCAAGATTAATAGAAAAAAAAAAAGTGGGTAAAGATATACATAAGACTTTAAAATGTAAATATGGACATAACT